CGAACATTTGAATTACAATAATTCTACACTTACAAAAGATGCTACGTAAGTTTGCTAAACCTTCCCTAAATCCTCTCCCCCGCCTCCTGATTTTAACTGGGGTGGGGCCTAGCTGCTAATCTTGATCCAATTAATAACCTCCACATCACTTTTTTTACGTAAAATCCTCACGGTAGCTTTCGTACGTGTAGCATTGCTCTTTGAGTTATTATCAAAGAGCAAGGGCACGCGAACCAATCTGTGATTGGATGGTTAAAGAGACAGTGGTATCCCCAGCCCATCAGGGTTCAAATTCTGATGCTCGCATTTATTCCTGAATTTATTTCAGAGGTGCCTACGGTGACTCATAAATTTTAATATGTTATACCGGCTCAGTCTTCCGGAGGTGCTCATAGGGGTAGGGTGTGCATGTGCGCGTTCATAGGGGGTGAGTGTATGCGCGTGTATATGAGCGCCTGCGTGTTTTCGTGAAGTTGTTGGTGGAAGATGGGACCACACCAACTTCCCCCCGCTCTCTTCACCGAACTTCAGGCATTACCACTCACGTCTCGCCACATTAGGTGGTTGACCATCGGGGTGCTAGACTGGACGCTATCGACTGTTGGGAATAATCTTGTGATTCAGCATGTCCCTCTTTGTCGCGCTACTAACGCTTTGTTCAAATGGTCTGGTTACTTGCAGTTTTGGCGGCCGCTTAGCCGCCCCAGGGAGAGAGACACCATCATCTCCATCATCACCCAGCTTCGTGTGATGGCTCTCAGGATGGCTCCCCGCTTCCCCCACCACCACCAAAGTCGGATTAGATCTTCTCTACCTCGCCGCCACCGTTGTTTATGTGTTGTGCGTGTTTCATTTCTGTGTTGGGCTTGTTGTGATGTGCCCACAGCTGGATCTTGAGTAGTGTGTGTGTGCATGTGTGTTGGACCTTGCCTGCGGTGGCGCTGTGTGTGTGTTGTTCGGATTGGTACCTTGTTGACTTTTTGCTTGGTGGTTTGTTTTATTTATAAAGCGGGGCGAAAGCCTTGTTCGATAACATGTATGGACAAAATTATAAAATTGATTAATTCTTAGTCGACTAAGCCCTAATTGCCTTTTTTTTTACCATGCGAATACTTAAGTTTAACAGTCTTGCTAAAGCTTTTTATCCTTTTTTTACCAAAAATTGTAAAATCGACTAATCTTAGTCGACTAGCACTAATTGCCTTTTAAACAACGCGAATACTTAAATTTAATCCATTTTTACCAGGATTTATCCATCTAGAGGATGGAGATCCATGGATATTTTATAGGTAATTTTTATTGCGGGGATTATAGGTGATAGTTCAAAGACACAATAGCTAGATAAGATACCACAGACCAGTCGATCGAGTAGTCCCAAGACATTTGTTGCAAAAATAAAATATTGTACGGCAATTACACGAACATGTCCTAAAAAGCAAGCCGATACAAATCGAAAGCCTACAAAATATGTTAAGGGCCGGAAAGCTAACGTCTAGCACTACTTCAGCGAAGGGAACTCGGTGGTGTCATCTAGGCTCGGTGGCGGCGGCGGAGGAGCTTGCTGGGGAGCCGCCGGCGCCTCCACGCCTTCTGCAGGGGCCGCCTCGTTCATGGACCTCTTTGGCGCTCCGAATTGCTGATTCCTCGATGCTCCGTTGTAGTTATTGTTATTGTAACATCTACCTTGCTTTGCTGCGCCCTGTGCCTTGCTGCTATCCGCCGAAGCCCCTGCGCTCTTATCATCACCGGAAACTCCATTGCTCGCCTTCGCCTTCGCTCTTGCCTCCGCTTCCGCCTTCGCCCTTGCCTCCGCTTCCGCCTTTGCCTTGGCCCTGGCCTGTCTCTCCCGCTGGTTTTTCCTGATTACGTAATCCCGGGCAGAAGGGTAGGCCTGGCCGAGTAGATCCTTGGTATGATCGGCGGCCGGCGTCGGCTTCTTCTTGTGCTTGGCCGCCGTCACTTCTTGTTTGGCATCGGCGTTGTCGAAGTCGGGGACGAGCTTGTCGCCGGGATCGTTGCGGTCGAGGAGCGCGAAGAGGTTCACGCTGGGCTTCAGTCTCGCCATGTCGGCCGGGTAAGCAAATCGACGAGATCGAGCGATGACTTTGCTTGCTGGTGTGCGATTTGTGAACGTCGAAGCTGCGCAACAGGCGTGCATATATAGATAGCTTGACGCGCTGGTACGATCCGAGTCCAATCATAGTTAGATTTAGTCACGACACCAACTCGTGCTGGGTCTGGCCAGATTTTTTTAAATAATACATCTTTTTTATTAAATTTCAAAAATATTACGCCATAATTATATTTTTCAAAAATAATACTCTTTTTTTTAGGGAATTCAAAAATAATACTCAGTCAGCCTACTGCTGGCCGATTGGGTCTAGTCGGCCTGCTGCTGGCCGATTGGACCCCAGTCGGCCCACTGTACGCCGATTGGATCCAGTCGGCCCACTGCTGGCCGATTGGCCCCAGTCGGCCCATTGCTGGCCGATTGGCGTCCAGTCTGTTTCCTCTAGACCGACAGGTGCATGCACCCATTTATCTTTGAAATGAATATTTGAAAAATATTAAAGAAGTATTTTAAAAAATGTTGAGCATGCATATAAAACTGTTAATCAAGCATTTGAAAAAACAATATAGAATAAGTATTTGAAAAATGTTGAAAAAATATTTGAAACTGTTGAATAGGTATTTGAAAAATGTTGAAGAAGTATTTTAAAAAATGTTGCTCGTGTATAAAAAAATATTAATCTAGCATTCGCAAAAAATATTAAACAATTATTTGAAAAAAGACTAAACACGTATTTGAAAAAATATTCATCATGTATATAAAAATGTTGAACAAGTATTTGTAAAAATGTTGATCAATATAAAAATATTGATCATGTATATTATACACATGTTAAACATTTTTCAAATACTTGTTCAATTTTTTAAATACTTGTTTAACATTTTCTCAAATACTTGTTCAACATTTTTATATACATGATCAACGTTTTTTAAAATACTTCTTTAACATTTTTATATACATGATCAACATTTTTAAAATACTTGTTTAATATTTTTATATACATGATCAACATTGTTTTTAAATACTTTTTTTAACATTTCTCAAATACCTATTCAACATTTTTCAAATATTTTTTAAATACTTGTTCAACATTTTTTTTCAAATGCTTGACTAACATTTTTATATGCATGATCAACATTTTTCAAATACTCATTCCAAAGATAAATGGATGCATGCATCTGTCGACCTAGAGGAAACAGACTGGACGCCAATCGGCCAGCAGTGGGTTGACTGGGGCCTATCGGCCAGCAGTGGGCCGACTGGATCCAATCGGCCTACAGCAGGCCGACTGGGGTCCAATCGGCCAGCAGCAGGCCGACTGGATCCAATCAGCCAGCAGTAGGCCGACTAGATATTATTTTTGAAGAATATAATTATGGTGTAATATTTCTGAAATTTAATAAAAAAATATGTATTATTTAAAAAAAAATAGCCTGGGTCTGCACGTTGTAGTGTTGTACGAAGTGGAGAAGGACTCGAACAGGGGCGTCTGGTATGACTTGTTGCAACAGTTCGACTGGGATTCAAGTTCCGGTGTCTACAACATGATGATAGCTTCGCCTCTAAAGTTTGGAATCGTGAAAACTTCCTTTTCAAATGTTGTATTCTATTTGCGGTCGCGGGAGGCACATGCACGGACCTGTCTCCTAATAAATCACGTGCTAGCTAGAAAGATGGAGAACAGCAATAAATTTAAATTCCTATTTTTTTGCAGGATAAATTTAAACTCCTATTAAACGCACTGTCGTGTGTGTAAATATGAGCATCAAAAGATTTGAACCTAGTGAGTCCATCGATATCCCATGGCTCTTGCAATCAACAAGAGCCGACTCATTTAACATGCTGAGAAACATATTACTCATGCCAGTTGGGTTTATAAGTCGGGCATGGGTCTTTATATATTCAGTTTGACCAGGAAAATGTGTAATATATTTTTCAGAAAATATGTCCGTTGTTAAATGAAGTTTCTAATCATATATTGTTATGTCATATTATACATATTTTATTAGTCAAACCGAAGACCTAAAAATCCAGCTTTGATGAGGGCTGGGGCTTCACTCTGGAGAAGGAGGATGGAAATGGAGGAAATCAGCAGCAGACGATAGGAAATGGGGATGATGGAGAAGAGAACAAGAACTAGTGTCCGATTGAATACGAGTATTTGCCAGAAGTCTGTTACACTTGCGGGATAATTGGACATGATGATAGAGCCCGTGAGATCAAACTGGAGAAGGGTGAGAGCACACAGTTTGGGCCATGGCTATGCGCGTTTATGCCAAACCATAGGAGTGAGATGGAAGGGGCGTTGGAGTGAGGGCCATTCTAACTCTAGGAGTCACAACAGTGGGTCACACATCATGTGTATATGGAAAGTGAAGAAGGGTAGTGCAGCAAGGCCCCGTCTTGGCGCAATGAGGGCACAAACAAGTGTTCTGATGGTAAAGTCTGGAGAAGGAAGTAATGAGACCTCTAAAAAAGAACCCACCATCTGCCCGCGAGGGTACTGCCAAGGAGCTCACGTTTACCGAAATGAATGCAAAGGAGAATGGAGGCATAACAGATGTGTCGAAAAAGGGAAAGGATATGTTAGTGGTGGCATGAGCACCGAGGTCATGCAGAAAGCCATGTAGATCAATATAAGGAATGAGACAAGGAGAAAGGTGGGGGCAAGCTGGAAGCGGATTAGGAGCACTCGGGTGCTCCACCCCCCTATATTTAAAAATAATTTAACAATTCAAAAAAAAGCCAAAAAAAATCTTGGATATATTTTTGAACCAAATATGACTAGGTATTATACTCATATAAAATGTTTGGCCAAGGAATAATTCTCGTTGACTTCAGGGCAAAAAAACCAAATTTATAACGACAATATAGCATGAATAGTACTTGTATCTAGCATTTTTGGGAAATCTTTGACCATGGATACAATAATAAGTCATTTCCTATTTAAATATTTTTATACGAGTGCGATACCTGGTCATGTTTGATTCCATAAAAAGTTCCGGGATTTTTTGACTTTTTTTGAATTACTAAATTATTTTTGAATATAGGGGGGCGTAGCACCCGAGAGTTCCTATGCATTTTGGGGGGCAAGCTGGACTATAATAAAATAAAGGAGGTGGATAAAAATATAAAGGCACTAGTACGTATAAGAAGGTGAAGGGGAGGAAGGTGGAGGGACGGATGCAGAAAGGACAAGGCGAGATGTGAGCTGGGTGGTAAGAGGAGAGCAGAACAAACAGATATTGATGGTGCGGAGGAGAATATAGTGCGCAGAAGCTGTGGATGTCAAAAGAAGCGAGGGCAATGACATGCACAAAAGTGAGATCGCCGGGCCATAGGAACAACCTGGGGCAACCCAATGAAGATTATCTCGTGGAACTGTCGGGGATTGGGGCCTAGGCCAACAGTTCGTGGTCTTCTAAAGCTTCAGAAGAACGAGTACTCTGATCCTTTTTCTTTCAGAGACAAAACTTGACAAGGCAAGGATGGAAAAGTTTCATAGTGTGTCGGGTTTGCAACATATGTTACTGCAAAATAATAATGACAAGATGGTGGCTTAGCATTTCTATGGAGGAGGGGAATAAATGTTACTCTGAGATGGGCAGGGAGAATGCATATTGATGTGATTGTGCAAGAAGGTGATGGTCTCAAATGGAGACTAACATGAATTTACGGTGAAGCTAAAGCTGAACAGAAGGTGGAGACTTGGTAGCCTGTGTGCACTCTGAACCACCAAATAAATCTATCGTGCATGTGTATGGATGATTCAACAAGATACCATTTAATGATGAATAGCAAGGCAATGTTCCTAGAGGTCATACTTTCACGCAAAAAAATCAGGATGCCTTAGAGCGTTGTAATCTCATTGATTTAGGCTTTGATGCTGTTGTGTTCACCTGAAGGAATAACAATTATTGCATTGAAGGTATCCATGAACATCTCAATAGGGTGGTTGCTTCACCGTCGTGGTGTGCTCGGTTTTCACATTATAAAGTTGTAAATGGTAACCCTGAACAATTTGATCATAGGCCTGTGATTTTATGGGTGTATGGTAGTCGAAGGTAGGCATAGAGGACAGGGGGTGAGCAGGCTAGGAGGTTTGAAGCTCGCTAGGTGTTGGAGGAGGGCTACAATGAGACGCTCAGTACAGCTTGGGAGCAAACCAATGCTACTTCTGTTGCTTACAGATTAACGGTCATCAACCAAGCGCTACGCACATTACACTACTAGAGAAAACCCTAGTAGTAGCGTGGGTTTAATCCGCCAACACAAGCTATTTAGGGGCTGTTTGGTTGGAGACTCAAATTGCCACACCTAAGGTTAGTCACTAGCCACAAGTGTGGCTTGCCACAATGTGTGATAAAATGAGACTGTTTGGTTGATAGCCATGCCTTAGGTTAGGTGTGGCAGATTTTGTGTGGTGTGTGTTTGGATTGCTTCCACACATGTTTGGCAAAAAACTGTGGCTTATGTTTGGTTTCCTGCCACATCTGGTTAGAATCACCTTAGTGCTAGAGTGGTGGTATTATGCCATTTTTGTTACAAACCAATCAGATTACAACATGCTCTAGTAAATGTAAGAAGATTTTGTCACAGTACTAATAGCCATAAAAATAACATGGATCATTTTCCGTTAAATATCATATGTGCAAAATAAGTCACAACCACAATTCAGTATGAAGATACAAAATAAGATAGATGCATGCAAGTTCCAGCCATCATTCATAAAGTCATGAAGTAACAATCCTAACCATAGCACAAGTTCCAGCCACCTTACATTAAAGTGTTTCACTACACATCAAAAGATCAATAGGTGTAGCACAAGTTCAACTCCCAAAAGCAGCAAGCAGACACATCGGAATCTCCTAAATACCAAAAGTTCCCATCTTCTAAACATCACAAGTGAGCAACTAGCAAACCGCATAGGTTGCTATCTCTTCCTTTTTCGGACATTAATCCTGTACCAGTACATGGCTAAACACACAAGAATG